CATACAGGAACCTAATTGAGAATTTTAGATAAAAACCTTACTCGGTCTTCAAAGCAACAACATGACGAACAAGACTTCTTCAATATAACTGTCCCCAGCCTACCCAAGTCGTATGGTACGAGAGAAACAAAATCCCTTTCAATCTTTACATCCCCCTCGGCTCAATCAATCCATCTTGTTTTCCAAGTCGTCCGCTAGCTAGTACGATCACATCGTCTTCGAGCGTTGAGCTTGAACTTCGAGAGCCAAACTTGGTGCCTCGGCCCAGCCTCAAGTGGGGCGTACCCAGAAGGAATTCGGAGACTGAGAAGGAACTCAGATAAGGTCAAGACGTCTATCTGGATGCTGTTTGGTGACATCCATAACCTCTACTCCGTACATACGAACACCTCTCTTTCCTTGCTTGGTCGAAGATTGAAAGGCTCTACTTCTACCCAGAAGGCTACTCCTATATTATTTACATCTCGGCATTTCGCTTCCGCTGGGATCGTTTCGGGCGTTTTGATGCCTCTAGATGATATGTATAGCAGAACACCCAGGCACCGTTCGTCTCCAAATACTCATCTATTGCATACTTTGAACAACGTCAGCTGACCAGAATATAGGAACTGCATGTGATGCATGCAAACGAATGAAGGTACACACATCCTCCGAGTTCCCCCGTGTTCTCCCGGTTGTTTTACTTACATTCATCAGATCAAATGCGAGTGGGACCAAGAAGGAAAATGCAACCGCTGCTACGGACGGGAGATGGATTGCACCGTCACAACCAAGGAGCGGAAAAAGAGAGAGAAAAAGAAGTATGAAGAATTCTGCATGATCACTACCGCATCTAACCAATATATAGGGGTAATCATATTACTCTCTTGGAAGATAGGCTGAAGCGCATGGAGCATGTCATGACGAATTCAGGGATTAGCATGGACGCTTCGGGCCTTGAAAGACAGCCGTCACAAGAGATCAATTATCAAGCTGGGATGTTTGAAAAGTTCTCTTCACTGAATATCAGTGGAACCGGGAGTGAAGAATTTGTGGGTAAGCAAAGTTTTGAATCAAACTCTGTGATCCTCACGTTAAGAATTAGCAGGTGCGGCTTCTGGGTTTTCTATCTTTTCTCCGCAAGGCCTTCAACTTATCAGCAAGATGACTGGAAATGACGGGTTTGCAAAGTTCATGGCTGAAAGAAATCACATACAAATGAACCAATACTCCGTCGGCTCATCCCTATGGTATTCGATGCCTGATGAAAAACACAAATCTCTTCCACCCAAGGAAGTCGCGGATAAGATCATGGAGTGTAAGCTTGTCAACCCATCTTTGTTCGATATCAAATCATAATTCATGTTCCCAGTTATTTTTGACAGGCTGATACCTTCCTTCCCCTTATTCGACCGAAAGACTTTCATGGAACGGTACTCACGCCAATACCCGGTCAAATGTTCGGAAGACCCTGCTTGGTACGCCTGTCTCAATGTCTGTTTTGCTATCGCTTCGATCATACGCAAGGAAGATTTGCCGGGGAACTCGCCCCCAAGGGAAAAATCCCCTAGCCTCAAAGGACCGGAAACCCTATCATGGTGGAAATGGCTTCGGAATGCAGCGAGTACCTTTGTCGACTTACAATTCGGACCACCTTCTTTCCTGGCCGTACAGGCAATGACTGGACTAGTAATTCCCTCTCTTGTCCTTTGTCGTTACAAAGTGTATTAACCTCATGACAGGCATTCATTCTAGACACACTATCGGATTCATTCCCGTGCTCTGTCGTGTCCGCAGCAACAATTCGACTCGCACAAGCCATTGGACTCCATCGCAACATATCCTATTCTGGCCTTAGCGAGGCTGAAGTCGAACAGAGACGCAACGTCTTCTGGATTGCCGTCATGATTGAACGCGGTGCAGTCATTCGTCAAGGTCGCCCATCTGTCATTCACGATGAAGACATTGGGGTTGATTTGCCACCTGAAAATCAATACCCAAGCAACGTGGATGGAAGATTTATTACATTCCGCCATAATGCCACGCTATCTTTACTTCATGGTCGAATATACAATCGGCTGTACTCTGCCAAGTCATTTACCAAATCCAAATCTGAGAGATTAAGGATAGTTGGAATGCTGGACGATGAACTTCAGCAGTGGTGTGAGACACTCCCAATCGAAGTTCGACCAGGACATCCTTTGAAATGCGACGAGCGTCACTTAGTGACAGTTGTGTGTACTCAATGGGTCTATTACCAGTGCCTTAGTACCATCCACCGAGTATCATTGTATTATGGCCCAGGGTGCTTAGATCCAGATGGTGATAAATCTCAAGGCGATTTTGATCCTACGTTGAACCCACGAGTATATGCTAGCGCTGCGATCTGTGTCAACGCGGCAAGGAGAACAATCCATTTACTGGAAGAGTGTACAAAACTGTCAAGTCCGTTGGAAGGAAACGTTTTACGGCAAGTGAAAGAAAACATTGATTGAAACCGAACTTACACTAACATGGAGCCTTTTAGCATGTCTATTCACAACGCACTTTCATCATGCGTCACCCTTTTTGCAAACATTCTCCAACATCCGCTTGATCCACAGGTACAATCTGATCTCAGATTGATGAACGATGTAATATCATTCATTTCTAGCTTCGAGGATCAATGTTCAGGGACTGGCCACCCAGCATTGCCAATATTTCAAGAAATCACTCGTGTCGCTGCGGAGCATGTCAACAAGGCACAATTCAAAGCTCCGAAGTACAGCAAGAGATCACGAGCCAAATATTGTAATGTTGACAACACAAATACAGAAAGCGATGAGTCAGATTATGAAGACTACAAGACGGAGGAACAAGCTGGAAGTATGACGGGTTCTGAGGTATGAATCATGGTCTATTGCCTGACAAGACTATGGAGACTAATTTTCACCCCGATGCAGTATCTGGGTTCTCCGACGTCACCCGTGAACTCTGCAAGAACTCACGTGCCCCCCTTTTCTCCCCCGACACCATTTGAATACAATCCCTCGGCTTATAACACCGAAAATGTTCCTACATCTATGCAGCAAGCCTATAATATTCAACCAACGGCACAAGACGCTCACCAATCTCCACCCTATTACGACATAAATCCTCCTATGCAACATCACACAAACGTTCCCGGTCTAAATCAGTATCCACAAATTAACGGCTCAAGTTACCACCACCAACCTCCACATCCTCCTTTACATGCCTCCCACTTGGAATCAGAACCTCAACCTTTCTCGTCACACCCCTTTACACACACACCCAACCCCGCTACAAATTTCTATCACTCTTCTCCAGAGCAACAACAAGCCCAGAATATCAATCCCCTTCGCACGAATCCATTTTCAAACCCGATGAGAAATCCCAACACGAATCTCCGAACTCCCATCAGCCAAGCGGAAGAACCTTTGGCTCCACAAGATGGGAGTTGGTTCTTCCCAATGATTAGTCCATGGTCTTTTATCGAGGGTTCAGACATGAATTCAAACGGGATTGACGGGGGTATTGGAGGTGCTAGTACGACATGGGCACATAATGGGAGCAATGTGCAAGGAGGAACATTGGGTGGTTGGGGCGTTCAAGGGTGATCAATTTTGAGAATTGTGAAGATGGTATCATTTTGGTACTTGAGTGGTTCTAATGTTGATTTAGACTTTTAATCATTGCTTGAGCGAGGCGAAGGTATTTTGATAATACGTTGACCGGGGGATCATTGAATTCGCTCTCCCTGGGTGGGATACATATGTATAGTAGGTACATGAATGGGTTTGATTGAAAGGGGGGAAGGCGAGGCGAAGGTGGGGAGGAGGGCTCACATTCCACTGCCACGTATCAGTTAACAGAAGAACATTCATTTGATAGCTCGATAATATAATCTCCAAGACCCATATCAATTCACAATTCCCAATTCTCGCCCTTCCCCATTCTCCCACACTTCCTGCAAACAAGGTGGGTGCACACGACGGGAGTTTTTGGGTCAGCCCGCATTCGATTTCCAATATCAAATTTACGCCCTGTCGCGTGGCCTCGTTTGCAATCATGATGATCAGCACGACGAGATATAATCACTGTACATACACTTACTTGTCCACGGCGCGGATGATAAACCCTTAATATTGATCCCAAAAAGGGTGTCTGAGAAAGCCAAAAAAAAAAAAGCTTAATTCACACCCAAGGGTGCAGTGTGCATATCACCCATCACCATCACACACGGTGGTATGGTGGGAAGTACCTTGAGAAGAGAAACCTTCCCAAGGTCTTTCCCTCCCTCACCATTGGGCATCTTTAAGGTTCAATGGATGTGCATGCATGTCCTGACTTTGCGCTTTGCAAGGGGCGCAGCCATCTCCTGACTTTGTCTTTGGGTTTGGGTGTTGTTTTGTTGTGTGGTTTGGTTTGGTTTTGCGTGTCTGTACGGTGTATGTGTATGGTGCGCATCGTCTTCTATGGGTATGGGTATGGGCGACATGTGCATGTACATATACATACAGCTTGCGGAGAACTTTGACATCCACGAATCCACGTGGTGAAGCCGAAGATTGGGTTTTGTTAGGGATGATGAAGGGGAGGTGATTGGTAAGTGAAATGCATCTAGATTCTAGAATCTAGATTGGATGTGTGATGGAAAACCTTCTCACGCTCTTTCTTTCTTTCTTTCTTTCGTTCAAGGCTTCCGCTATAACGAACTCTTTTTCTTTTCTTTTTCGAGAGCTGTATCTTCTTATGTTTTCCCCCATCAGGTCTCAAAACTTGTGTGATGATTGTAAAACTTATGATGACAGTACGAGTAAGTAATCGTTAGATTTAGACGACCAATAACGTACGTGGCTCTTGTTATCGAGTCTCCAAACTTTTCGATCAGTTTTTCAATAGAAATCACTGTAAATTATGAAGAATGAGTAACAAGATTTATCAGATAATATATCATCGACACACTCACCGTGCTAGCATATAATCTAACATGTGCGCCGACCACGCATAACAGCAGCGCATCCCCCGTGGCGCAATTGGCTAGCGCGTTCGACTGTTAAAGAATCAAACTGAATCAATTTCGGTGCAGAACAATCGAGAGGTTGATAGTTCAAGCCTATCCGAGGGAGACTCCTTTTGCATTTTGTGAAAGCTGATGGATGGATGGATCAACTCTCTAGATGCATGTTTTGCATGTTTTGGTTTCAAGCGGTGGCTGTGCAAATGTGGCGGTCCCAATAACGAACGAGGAGTTGAGTGAACAGGTATAAGCGCGCGTGAAGCAATGAATAAACAAACCATGACGTCTGGCTGGGGCTGGGGCTGCGTTGGATCTCTGAAGTTGCATTGATAAATAGAGAAAGTATGTTGTCGCACAAGGGCTTTTGACCTTGATTCTGACTATTGTACAGCTTCCTATTCCTTCGTCCACAATCAGACGGGGATCGCACCGCCATCATGCTCGAATACTTCACCTACAAAAAGGTCAAGAAACATCAGGTTGAGAAGAAAGCACGCGCTTCGAGCTCCAACACCCCTCTTGCTTCCCCGAATCCAGATTCTGCGACAGCATCTTCACGCCTACATCCTTTAAATCTGGTCGAGACTCCATCTGCGGAATTCAGGGGAGGAGCGGGCCCGATTCTTAACGAGGAAGATGAATGTTTTTTGCATAGGTTTATAAGTGCAGAGGGAACTCCACCTCCTCTTCCGCTGAGACCCAGCGAGAGAGGTCTTGCGGGGATGGGAGCAATGGGAGGTGAGGCGGGAGAGTGGAGAGATAATGAGCTGCCGATGATTTTGAGGGAGGATGGAGATGGAGATGCAGTTCCAAAGGAGAGAGAGGGTAGGAAGCAAGGAAAGGGAAAGGGAAAGATGGAAGAGGGAGAGAGAATGGATGAAAATTCCGAAAAGGTGGCAAAGAAATGGAAGAGATTGAGCTTCTTGCACAAAGGCAAAAAGGTATGTCTGCACCTCAAAATACCCGCAATCAAGCAACAACTCACATCTTCCCTCCAGGGCAAAGACTCCAACACCCCCTCCACCTCCCCCTCCACCGGTCTCCAACCCGACCCCAATGTCTCCGAAAGCGAAGCCCAACGCGAACAAGACGACCTCACACGCGTGCTCGACGACCTCTCCCTCACGGCCTCCAACAACCGCGCCTTCTCCCTCTCTCCCGACTCCACCGTCCTCGTGCAAAAGTTCACGCTCATCCTCAAAGACCTCATCAACGGCGTGCCCACCGCCTACGACGACCTCGTGCACCTCCTCGAAGACTCCCAAGGCACCCTCTCCAAATCCTACGATTCCCTCCCCTCCTTCCTGCAAAAACTCATCACCCAGCTCCCCTCCAAGATCACGACGACGCTGGCGCCCGAACTCCTGGCCGTCGCGACCGAAGCCCAGGCGCACAGCGTGGCGCATGCGGCGAGCGCCGCGCAGGCCGGCGGCATGGGTGCGGCGGCCAAAGCGTTCCTGACGCCGGCGTCGCTCAAGGATTTGGTTACGAAACCAGGCGCCGTGGTGGGCATGCTGAAGGCGATTGTGAATGCGTTGAAGCTGCGGTGGCCGGCGTTTATGGGGACGAATGTTCTGCTGAGTTTGGCGCTGTTTGTGCTGTTGTTTGTTTTTTGGTATTGTCATAAGAGGGGGAAGGAGGTTAGGTTGGCGAGGGATGGGAGGTTGGTTGTGGAGGGTGGGGGGCTTACTCCTGGTGAGGGGGGGAGTGGGGAGCTGCAGAGGGAGAGCTCGAGGAGGGAGGGGGGTGGGAGTGGGAGTGGGAATGGGGGTGGCGATGGGTATAAGGCGAGGAGGGATGCTAGACAGAGGGAGAAAGAGGAGAGGAAGGAAGATGAGAGGAGTAGGAGTCGAAGGAGTGAGCAGGAGAGGAGATGATGAGAACTGAAATCAATTGATTGGATGGCGGCCAGATAGTCATGACATGATGATACGAAAATGATGGATATATACCCCTAATATGATGAGATATGAAATTTAGCTCCTCTTTTCTTTTTAGGGTTTAGCTCGCCATTTGATTCGATGATTGTAGCTCCTCTTTGGGTTTATATGTCTCGGGGTGAGACGGAGGTTCTGATTTATATTGCATATTACATGTTACATACAACTTTCGTGCAAGTATATCTTAAGCATAGGAACGTGGCCAAGAACTGGAAGATGGTACGTTTATATACTCGTAGAGTCTATTTCACATCCAACTGACCTCCATACTACTCCCCCCTTCATGTGCCATTTCCTATAGACTCACAGGTAAGCTCCACAGTAAATCAAGTAAAGATTAAGAACATTCGACAACATAGAGCAAGTAATAAGCTACCATCAATATGCTCAACAACTATTCAGGTATCTTAAACAAGATGAAGCATGAACCTCATTTAAGTAGCAAATTTATCCCGGCCAACACCCGCCTCTTTTTGTCAGTCAATCATCATGCCAGTATCTCTGCCATTACCCAGAGCACTTCATAGGCAATGAAATTCGCATCCAGTTGGCCTTCCTTTAGCTCAAGTTCGCACACTTGTCTCAACTTCCTCTCGCTCTTTCTCGCTGCTTTCACAACTCCTCGATAGCTCTCAGAAGACAATCGAGTCCCATCTTGCTAATACCACCATCTTCACTTTCAACACCGATCCCCTTTCCCTTCGTTTCCGGCTCTCTCAAACACCAAGCCACATCACTCAACACCCCCAAGGGCAAATAGGTTCCTTTCTCGCCCCTCGCTCTCTCCATGCTCTCCCCAAGTCTACTAGTATACTCCTGCTCCTTGGCTGCCACCTCCGCTCTATCAACTACCTTCTTCGGTATTCCACACATACTTGCGCAATGCATACCGAAACTACCTTCTGCGACTCCATTCTCTAATTTATATAAAAAGAATACGCTTCTAGACTCATTGTCAACTTCGATAGCCATACGCTTGTTGATAACTTCAGGATGGGAATCAAATTCTAGGGCTAGAGAATGGTAATGTGTGGCGAAGAAACCGATGCACCCGATATGAGAAGCGACGTGGTGGAGCACAGCTTGAGCGACGGATACACCATCGTAGCTACTGGTGCCACGACCGAGTTCGTCGAGAATTACAAGGGAGCGGGGAGTAGCTTCTGAGAGTATCTTTTTTGTTTCTGAGAGCTCAACGAAGAAGGTAGATTGGGCAGCGAAGATATTGTCATTGGCGCCCAGGCGGGACATGATACGGTCAACGGGTGTAAGGGTTGCAGATTTGGCGGGGACATAACAGCCTATTTGGGCCATAATTACTGCGATACAGGTCTATAAGTGAAAAGTTAGCATGCTCGTTGTGTCCAAAAAGACGAGAGACATACCATTCGTAGTATTGTAGATTTTCCAGCTGCATTAGCACCAGTGAGTAGATTGATATTAGCCGACTTTCCACCAAGCTGGATATCATTGGGAATGAAGTCGGTCACATTTGGTAAAACGCAAGGATGTCGAAGCTCTTCAAATTCAACCACACTCCTTTCCGAATCGACAAATTTGGGTCTGCAAGACGTAGTACCCAAGGCTGAGGACGCAGCAGCAAGACTGACAAGACAATCGAGTTGAGCGATAGCCTTAACGGCCTGAAGCCATGTCTTATAATCCTCATCAAAACGAGCATAGAACCTACTTGCTACTTCCTTGACGATCTGGCCGTGTGTTTCTTGAGTTTCCTGCAGATCCCGAATGATATTCGTGAGCTCGGGAAAGTAGTAACGCTTAAAACCGGCTGCAGAAGATGTCATCTTCCAATCCTTGGGCACCTTGATTGCGACTGGAACTTGTAATTGGTAGATTTCCTTGCCAATGTTCTTGAACTCGATTTTCTTTGAATCAAATTTCTTCTGATATTTCTTCAGTAGGGATGCGAGCTCTTGATGAATTTCTTCGATACGGTCTTGACTAGCATCAAAGTCTTCTTCAACCCCCCTTTCAGGAACGAGAATCTTGTGCTGCTTCGCCTTTTTTCTGTCAAATGCTTGCTTCCACCACTGCAGGGGTTCGGCAAGATCAGGTATTGTAGCAACCAAGCGATTAAAGATACCATCACCGCCACTGTAGCTACCCAGAATCTCCTTTTGGATGTACTCGATTTGCTCAAATCCCTCTAGTACCTTTACGAAATCTTCAGGTTTGCATGACCCAGCATGAATACGGGAAATCAGCCGTTCCAAATCAGGCATTGTAGAAGTTGAGGACTTGAATGAACTACTCAATTTATCATCCTTGTTGAGCAGATCCACAGCGTCAAGACGTTCGTTAATCCTCTTGATATCGGACAGCGGGTGTGACACCCATTGTCGAAATAGCCTCTTTCCAAACGGTGTAGTGCAACGATCAAGGAGTGTGTATAGGGTACCATCCGAATTTCCATCAAACGTGTTAGAGAAGATCTCAAGGTTAATAAGAGTCTGGCCATCAAGTACAAGAGTCGTACCTTTCTGAATGGGATTGTACCATGTGAAATTACCTTGCGTGAGAAGAGGTTTCTCAAGCTGAAGAAATCTCAAGTATTGGAAAAGAGCTCCGAAGGAAGATATCAACAGATCATTATCTCTTGCTTTTTCAAGCTCCTCAGGCCAGGTTTCTTTCCCACCATCCGGTGAAGTAAAGTATCCGCCGTAGTCTAATTCCCTGCGAGCCACCTCGGGGCGCGGAAATTCCTTCTCGGATTTCAAATAATTCCAAACAGTCGTTGGACCAGTATTGTTTTTCAAGATACGAAGCACCTTGGTCGAAACACAAGACTTTTCCAGCAACAATTCTTGAGGATGAGTTTGGGCAACAAATGTTTCAAACGCAGTCAAATCTACATCATCAGTAAACTCCGTGAGAAAAAATTGACCTGTTGAAGTATCGACAAACGATATACCAATTATTGGTAATTCATCATCTGTGACGGATTCTTTAATAGCCACGAGGTAGTTTGCCGAATCGTCCTGTAACATGCTACCCTCAACTAAGGTACCAGCCGTAAGAACATAAGAAAGTTCTCTGAGAATGATCTTATCAGCTTTCTTGCCTTTGCTCGAGGGGCCTGTGCCATCCTCTCGTTCGCGCATCTCCTTTGCCAAAGCTGATTCCTTTTGATCGCCAACAGCGACTTTGT